GTAACTCAAAAGATTCTCTAGCTAGGAAATGAAATAATTTATTAAAGCCTTGTTTATGTTGATGGTGATAATTTATTATTGTAGAACGAGGTTAACTAGCTAGTAATTGAAACAAATTAAGCGTGTCAATCGGTCTTTATTTCGTTACCGTAGTTTTACCGCTCTTTGATTACATAATGGAGAGCTATACCAGTTTAATCTATGGGCAGCGGTAAAGCGGTAAAACGAGTACAGTATTAGCGACCGCTGGCTGTTTAGCGAGGTAATTGAGCATGCACTAAACATTATACTCTCTCCGGCTCGTTAACGACTCTATAATAATAATTGCGAGTGTGCCCATTGAGAATTGCTAATTCGTGGTGTAACTGAACAGGCTTAACTGTTCAATGAGGTAAATTAACTTTACTTAACTAAAATAAGAATTGTATGACAACCTTGTTACCATGTAATTATTTTTATCATAAATACACACGCACACCTGCTTTTATTCCAACTTAACAAGTTAATTAATCTACACAATTCTTCACAACGAGAAATCTTCGACTGAAAATGCAGGCAATCAAACAATTACTTTAAACAGCAACAATAGGTCTGGTGTATTGTTATTTATTTATTAAATCCATATCCATTCTGTCACATTAGTGATTAATACGTAGTTGTAGTAATTACAGCTAATAACCGATATTGGCTGCCGTCTCAGCTTGTGAGAGTGGGTGGAAAACTTGTACTGTACACAGATTAAATTAAGTAGCTCTCGATTTACTGTCGACGCTTTAAGTGTTTTTGGTGTTTGCTCGTTAATTCAGCAAGTCAAACATCTTTAGCAGTTTATTATGAAAATATATTCATGATTTTTAAGAGAGAAATTAGTTCATTTGTGCCGCCTTCCTGAAGAAATTTTGCTTAATATAATGTTTAATTGTCATATACGTACATATCGCACATCACAACTAAATGTGTCTTGTAATGTATGTCATTCGTATACAATTTAATTTCAAAGTGACAGTGTTGTCCAACATAGACATTTAAATTAAAATTTTTTGCAGAATATAATTAAAAGCAGTCAGAAGTCTTATGCAAATTAATCTGTGAAACAGCCTCCCACGGTGTCAGTATAACATGTCGTCGCTTAACGCAGTGTGGGTGATTACCTGCCCGCTGAGTTATCGATCGGCGCTAATTATTTGACAGCCTCTTGTAAATACGCCTGGTAACCTTTATAGACGTAATTACGTTTCCTCCATGAATACATTTGCGCCCGTTATCGTAAATTTCTGTTCCCCTTTACTTTAAAGAGGTTTTGTGAACTTGTAGGTGTACAAGTAGAACTGAAAATGGCTCACTTCGTCCTCTGCAGCTTTTAAAATAATGAGCATTTGTAAGTTCTTTATATAAAGAAAAAACAGAACCCTTAAACATAGAGCCGAAATAATGTTATGGTTGGAGGCATCCGGAATTAAGCTGCCTTTCCCACGGGAGCACCGCCACGGGCAGAAAAATAGCTCGCCCGATTTCTGCGAATTTGTGATAACCTTTTTTATGAGACTGAAATGAATTGTATAAAATCTTTGGTGGTAGTCACATAAAGTCCTCGAGAGGATTTGCTTTCGTCGCACTCCTAAAGAGATTTATTCTTTGCAAAATGGAGTTTAAATATACTCCGAGCTTTCTCCTTTTGTTATCAGAGTAAAGGTGTAATAAAGTTTACAAGAAGTTTTAAAAAATGCGAATGATTATCCCTTCGATAAACCTGTATCTTATACAATCAAATAAACAAAAATTGAATTAGTGTTTTATTGAATTTATTAATAAGCTATCTATGAAATCAATATTTCAATAAATTTTAATGTGTCGTTAATAACATTCTTGTCAAGTATATCATCATCGAAACATGTAATTTAGATAAAGACACGCTCTTACGTCTGGCGTATTAATAAGCCATTACCGATTACAAAGCGTGTGAATTATCACCTGTGTTGTTGTAGTTGATTGTTGACATTTATTTATTAAGCTACGTACAGAACACGTGTCTTGGCACGGGCCACTTTGCATTTGATAATGTTCCGAGATAGTTCGCTCCGCATCTTTCGAAATCCCGACCTAACTCCGTCACCCAATTTATAAACACACCCTACCATTGTCTAACAAGGGGTGAAAGGCTAACGCGTGTCGTTTTGTTTAATCCCCACAAAATTCTTTTGTTTGCGGGAGCAGATGTTTCTTCATAACTTTTATTTGATGTCACAAAGTTTTCCAGGCCGAGGCGGGAAGATGTATGAAACTATAATTTACACGAGTCTGGAGATGGCTACTAAATTTAGTAGTTAACATTTTCTTGCGTTAACAGTGTTGTAACAATGTTTTAAAATTATCTGTTTTATGTGAAATCGTGCCCGGAATCAGTTTTTATTGGGTGATCTGACAAGCGGCAGCATCTGTCGTTTAGTTCAGTTGTCGCGTCTGTGGCAGGGAGATATCATTTAATGGTTACGGTAATGGACCCTCTCAGCATCACCTCGCTCCGCGGCGTTCCCCGAGCCAGCGTCAGTCGCCCCTGATGACCGACTGCCGGTATTTTTTTATGTTCACTCAATAATGTGTCAGTAGGGACTCTTGTTGGTATGCACGACATTTCACCGGTGATGGTCACTCGTTGTCACCCCTAAAATTTTTACGGTGGCTTTGTTAAGCGGCTGTATTATACTTAACATACAGTTCTTATTTTTTTGTTATTTAAATTTTGATTTTAATTCGCAGTATCATCAATCTCGGATCTTAGTTTAGCCAGCTAATATTACGTACAATAAATATATATTTTATCTACATAAAGTTAACAAAAATATAATCAACGAAATAATTTGAAAACAACACCTAAATTAAATTTGACCTTCCTTAACTATGTTTTATATAGGTTATATTATATGTTGTATGTAGTCAATCAACCTTTGCAAATTACACTATTATACTTGTTTATTTCAAAATGTTTCTAAGACCAGTGTGATGTTTATCTTATAGTTACAATATAGCATTATTGTCCCCTAGACACTTTTACCGTTAACGTAGTGAGCACTCTAAGTCACTTCATTCGATAGTCGATTGCAGTCGTTATTATTGTGACGTGCCTTCTTTGCTTTATTGTTTTATCGTCCGCCAACGTTTAACCTCTTCGCTGGCAGTCTTTTATGCTTGCAGCTGATAGCCATCTAAGTATCTCCTTTTCTGTAATTTATTACGGCTTTGTTGTGAGTGTCGATGCTTCTCTGAATTTATTATGTAGGATCTAGGGATGCTCTTGAATCAATCTCATAAAAATCGTTTCAAAATTAATTTCGATAAAGAAATAATGATTTTGACAGCCTTTTTGACTTCAGTTGTAAGCAACTTTCATTTAGAGTGATATGAGCCAGTAAAAAAAATTTAGATGGCACATAAGTAGCAATAATCGCCAAATACTGTTAATTTATTGTACTTATCTGTTTTGCCCAACTACTTTTCTTGCAGACTGATATAAAATAGGAATTAGCTCTCTCTTCTCTAGGGGTTCAAAAAGAGACTGTTTCGTTTAAATTATGAATACGATCTAGACGATTCGATTCGCCTTAGTGTTGAATCGATTTACTAAATAAAAATCGCATTGAAATAAATCGATACAAACAATCGCTAGATCGTATGCACTTGAATCGATCTTCATAAAAATAGAATCGTAATGTGCATCCCTAGTAGGATCATTTATTTTATTAGTATACAAGGGATTAGATTCGACGTAATTTCATTGATGTGTATAATTAAATTAAAAAAATAAAGGAATATTTATTTTATTGAACACCATGATGTTTTTACTACCATGATATTTTTATATTTTTTGTGAAAGTACTCCATTAGTTTTGTTATTAATGATACAAACGTCGAATAAACACAAATAAAAATTCCTAGAATCTGGCGAGATTCGAACCAGCGATTCTTTGTCAGACTGGGGATACCGCTCTCCAACTAAACTACGGAACGAATCAGCAGACTTTACGAATTTCTACATGTGCTGCTGATTAATTCTGTTGCTCAGTCGGGAGAACGGGTGCCCGGTCTGGCAAACAGTCGAACAACAACACCAAAAATAAGGCACGAAAAAATACATGTATTTTTCGTCGTATTTGTAGAAGTCACATTTCTTGATATTAGTATGTTTTTAAGCATAATAAGTAAAAACCGTATTCACAACTATGGTAAGTGTCACGTCATAACGGGGTGTAATAGTTTACGAATACCATTATTTCTCATGATCACAAAACGTCGTCACGTAAAATCACTCTTTATTATGTATCGCACGAGTCGCCGGGACGTTTAAATGAAACTCGACAGCGGAAGAATTAATTACATTACGGTACAAGTAGTGTGCGTGTCACTTTAAGTATTTTAGACTACGGCGACCAAAATTGAGGTACAAATGAGAGAGAGGAGAGAGGAATCACATTTGTTTATAATCAGACCCATAAAGATAGATGAATCGGTCTACTTATTGCTCAAAAAAGTAAACTGGATCTTCAAGTTTATTAACAGCTTCTCTAATGGAGAACATGAAGTTCAAGTTAGGTCCTTAATACGTGCTCGCGTCTGGCATCTTCAGAACACTCACTCAGCCGGGCGAGTAAAACGAACGAAACTAAGTATGATTAAGTGGGACTGTGGGACCATATCACGAACTTAGACTGCACTCCTCTACGACTCTGGAATGCAATGCTCCGGAGTTTATAGCCTGAACGCAAATGAGTTGGCGGGCTCCTGCTGCTCATTAGGTTAAATTATGGCGTTCGTGAAAAGGCACTCGAGACGTCGAGCACTGGTTTCCTAATATGACTTGTCAGTATTTCATAATTTACTGCTCTTACATTTGAAACTTTAAACGACGTGTTTATTTAGGTGTTTAGCGACTTCACACACGATTAATAAGTAGTTGTTGAAGTTTGTGTTGGAATGTGTTTAATAGTTATTTTATTTGTCAACAGGCCGCTGTAAAATGTGTTTCCTCACCACGCACCATCGCGCTGTCCACCAAGCCGCGGCTCCCGGTTTCCGAATCTCCTCGGTGTCACCCGTCCACCGTCACTTCGATGACTGCTACTGATACAAAAGTATGTCCACTTTTTCTATGTTAAGAAGCAATAGCATGAACTTGTAAATAATCTTTGGCCAGTTATCGTTTCACGTTAGCGTTTATCAAATACTTGTTTTTTGCCAAGCTTTTATTAACCTAAACAACGATCTTACATTAGCGTACATAACAAAAGCTGCTCAATACACCAACACAGTACCTAACGCTGCCGCCGCTGCCGTAATGCGTTGGGTGATCTCACACTTCTAAATGCAGCGACGCTAAATCCGTAGCCATCGCCGTGCCTCTTCCGGGACGTGCTTCTCGCCAAACGCATAAAACGTACGCAAACTGCCACTCGGCTTGTCAACGCGCCTCGCCTCATCTCCGAGTGCGCTGCAAAACTAACACGCGTGAAATCCGCGCGCTGTTTACTTATCTCCGACTGCTTACCAAACTATTAACCGCGATTGAACAACGACCGAAATAAACCCTTTATTTAGACAGACCTAGGATCGTATTCCAGAACTCTACTCAATGCTCAAGTCACGATTTGAGCGGACTTGAGTATGATTTCTAGTGCTTTGAATCATACTCAAGTCCTGACTTGAGCATTGAGTAGAGTTCTAGAATACGACCCTAAGAATCTTATTTCGTTTGTAATGCTGCTCGCATATCTAAAAGTTACTTAAGGACTCTCTTTATTCAGTTTGAAAAACATCTGCCCGAGATGGAAACTCCGCAAAGTGGTTACACTTTCATTAGTCCCGACGAGGCGGTGCTCTGGAACTGTAGTTTTTGTTTTTGTGCGACTTCTTGATTGCAGCGAAAGTAGTAAGCCGGTAGAGAATCACAATGCATTCCAACTTGGGAGCATAAAGGCAGGATGGTTGAAATGAAGATAGTTGGAGCGTGCACTCGATACGAACAAAGATACCTACACATGAAAGTCTATTTTTATCGGCAAAGATATCAATTTTATTTATTACTCTATTGCTTTCACGGTCTTCTTTTATTAGTGTCTTTTTATTGAGTAAATGAACTGAATAGTAATTTCATATGAAAAAGGTTCATAAAATATACCAAAATAAAGTATCCCAACGTTCATTGGACCAATATTACTTTCCAATTACTCTGTAAATTCAAACCGAAAATATTGTTTAAATTCGAAATGCAGAGAGAATTTTATTAAACGCGCTCAACCGCGTCTGGCGAGCGCAATCTCGACTATTGGCTGACATGGCCCGTCATTCATGAAAGCTTTATTTGATTATCGCTCTGCCGCCCGCCGGACACCACTTTAGCAAATCTAACATTTTCAATGTGAATCCTATTAAATGGCGCCTGGTAATTGATTTTAACGATTATGTGTCAGTTAACTTTGTTGCTACTAATCCATTCAGGCAGTAACTTTTCACTTTAGTTTGAAAATTAACCAGGATGGTTCCTCGGTTCTATATCTTTGTCATTACGACTCTTATAAATTCTAAATAGTGTCACTTACGACGAGCGTACACAACCTCTCTAGTAGGAATATAGAAGGAAGAATCCGGACAGTTTACCCTCTGCTCCTGTGCGCATTTCGTTTGTTCGCTGACGCCAGATATGTCGCAATCCTATCCAATTTGCCTCCCGCCACTCGGCACTCGTACTGCACGAATAAAGCGGAAAATCTTGCTCTGTTGGTCGAAAAAATAAATTACGCCGACTTTGATATGAAACATCGGGACGAGACGCGTGTTACTTGTTTTCCGGTCTCTGAACGTTATTTTCCTAGCATGATCGTCAATTTCGTAAGGTTACTCGAGTATAAGGTTTCTTGAAACAGAAATTAACACTAAAAAGACCAAAGATTTTAAAGCGCATTTTTAGCTGCTAACTCAAGTGGAAAGAGCTTTAAAGAGAAACGTAGCAAACTAAACTCCTCGACATAACGTGGTGTGCGGCAATGTCGTTTACTTTTATTTGCTGTCCGCTGGCTGCAGTTTACGGAGTATACAAGGCTTAAACAATATCAAGCACTCTGAACAGAGCATGAGCACGATCGTTTGGCACACGTTGGAATCGCGCCGCACCGCTGTGGTGTCGGCTAATAGCTCTTCGTAGATTCAATTTGCTGTCGAATAGAGTATAGCCTCCCTGTGCGCCGTACGCGATCATTAAGTTACGCCGTCGAAGTCTACTACGCGACGTGGCAGTAAAGTTCGTTTTAAACGACTACCATCATGTACGCCTCATAGTTATAGCTATAACAATATGCCTTTACTATAGAAAATTTTATCCAGAAAACCCTTATTAGAAACTTTGTCTAATACCGTGCAAATTATTACAACCCATGAGATTACAAGAGTGTTTTATTTAAATATTTTTAAAAATTGATTTATTTAAAGTATCGAAATATTACATATACATTTATTAACAGAATAAATAAAATAAAAACCAATAAAAGTGCATGCTTGAATAAAACATTTAAGTGTTTTATTGGAACAAATTTCGTTCACAACTTCTCAAACGTGCTATCAATAAAAGGTATAAAAGTGAAGAAGAAAATAAAGTTGTTCTACAACAGAGTCCAAAATAGGTAACAGTGAACACAAATTGATTGCTTTCGACAGCAACTGATCTTATTGTGTTTTCTCTGGCGTGCCGCCACCGCCGCCGCAAACTCGACACTACCAAAAAGTTTTTATTCTTGGCTCTTGCCGATATTGCCGTTTGCTTACGTCGCACTTGACTTCCCTTATCGCTAAAACGAGTCTCTGTCGAAGTGGCCAGCCAGACCAGCTCGTGTCGATCCTGCCTCCTATCTGGTGTCTGAAATATTGTTATGAACGTTCCTCCCACGTTCAGTGAATCTCATAAATTGTTAACATCTGATTTGATTGTGCTTCTGCCGTTTATTATTGGTCGTTTGTGCATAATATTTCACTGTTATGCTTATTTACATGTACTTTATACATGATTCGAATACATCGAATACGTTTAATATTTCATCTGTGGTATTAACGGCTCTATAAATATCGCATTGGAAAGCTATCGGTTAATCCCGGTGAATACGCGTGATTGAACATTAATTTTAATCAAATATAAAATGCAGTGGAAATGGTTGTTTCATTTACGTTGTGCAATTGAAATTTTAATTGATTTATTGGTAAGTGATGTCTTCATTGGCTTTAATTGAAATTCGACAACACAACAATTGGAAATTTAACGATCATTTGCATTGTTCAGTGAACTCGTGCCGCGCAAATGTCATAATTGCAATGGTATTGCTTAAAAATGTCTATATCAGCATGTTGTTTAATTTGCTCTTATGTACGGTAGTTACTTATTGGAGTATATTTAATTACATATCAAAAAACTTAATACACAACAAAAATACATATATACACCATTTATATAACTTATACATCTAACAATCAAATAATTTCCCTGCAAATAAACCGACCAACTAACAAAACTAATATCAAATATGATTTTAAAACATGTCGATACTAATTTATTAACAATATGGTTTATTTTTATCAAAAATCTGATTGCACATCAATTTACGCAAATAACAGAAATAACGTCAAGTTTTACAAGTAACTATTCTTTAATAAAAAAAGTTGTTTCGCCAAGTTTTAACAATGAAATACGTGTATCAAATGTATTTTAAGATATAACTAAAAACTCCATTATTTCTAAAATTTCATCTAATTAATTAAAAATAATTTTCTCGACCTTTTTTTATCACTTTCACAAACATGGTTCATGAGTCCAGTGCATTCAAATTCTAAATGGTATATGAAGGCGAAATGTTGCTTAACACAAAAGTCTACTCTATAGTGGTTTTATAATTAGTTATTTAGTAATGAAATGAATTTGTCTCACCACTACTTCATTTTCAACCCCTGTCTACTTAGTGCCAAAATTGAGAACATATTTAAAATAAAATCGCATCTTCGCTTCGCAGGTGGCATTGATGCCTTGATTGCAATGTTTGTGTATAATTTTATTTACTTTGTTGATCTTATTGTTTAGAAACACATTATTTGGTGTAGACCATTATTTGGTTTATCTCTTGACGAGCGCGGTGGCGCAACGGTTTGCAATGTGGTGGTATTTGGTGTTTTGGTTTGGTTTGTTTGAAAAAAAAAAAAAAAAAAAAACAAAAAAATTACGCGATTTAGATCGGAATTAACGGAAAAAAATAGATTCATTTCCAATTAGACTTTGAAATTATGTCACATAAAACCTTGTTTCATTTCGATACACTAAAGTACCTTTAGGTAAAACGGGTTAATTGTTTGTAATAAATTTGATATCTTGCATGACAGAAATATTACAATACTGTCGGGGATAGCGCAATTACGCGAAACTAGCGTTGGATTATGATATTCCATTCCGGTGATTAAGTGGCAAATCAAATCCGCGTAAATGTCGTGGCAACCAAATTGTAATTTACGGGAGTCTATTGTTATCAGTCCGTAGACAACGAAAATTAATGCTTATTGTGAAAAAATTTAAATCGGGGCATTGAAATAATAAAATAATAACGAGATTTAATCTCTCGTATAAAATATGGTTTAGTGCAGATACGCTCCTTTTACCTATACTACACACGCGGATATGTATTTAGATATGCTATGTGATAAAATGTTATGCGTCAATTTAAGGCATGTCCTTAAATGAAATATCTTTTAAAATACATATTTTGATACGCAATCAGTATGTTTTTGGGACTTAACATATTTTGTTATAAAAAAAACCTTTCTTTTTGATGACCACTCACATACTTACCTTTTTTTATTATATTAATCTAAAAGATAAATTCATGTTCAAGTATTTAAAAAAAATCAGGATTATACTAAAACAGTATGGAATAAATAGTTCGTACATATTACAGTAACTATGTAAGCAAACAAAAAAAAACTATATTCAACTGTAGCTATGTCGTACGCCTTCATTTCACCAGATGGCGTTGAATGTCTTAAAATGAATTGTGCTATAATTTGTGGAAACAACAAATTCGATGTTTTTTATTTAATCTTTTACTAG